CAGTCGCCCCTCCGCCGCAACCACCACCGAAGACACATCCGTCACCACCGGAGTGTCTGGCCGCAACTGCGACGTCGGCTGTGGTGGAACCTCATCCACCATCTGTCGGTGGTGCTCCTCCACCACCTGTGATTGAAGATCGTCATCAGAGTCCTCCATCTCCATGCGGTCACCCCAAAGACGGCTCGGTGCGGACACCGCCTGGAACGAACCAAAACGGAGAGATGTCGTCGGAGTGGACAGGGGCGCCGCCCCCTTCTCAGTCCTCGGCTCAGTCGAATGCGCTGGTTTTCTGACTGGTTTGTCCTTCCCACCATGGTCATTGGGATTACCATCCATCCCCTGGTCACCACTACCATCTCCACCATCAGTCATATCAACATCAGTAGTCCCAGAATTATTATTTGCTTGATGAACCTCCTCGACCACAATATCAAGATCATAAGACATCCCATCATATGTCCATGGTACAAAGTCAGGAATATAATCCGCATTGACAACACCGACAAGTAGCCTCGCCACTCCATGCAGGCGTGTAAATGGCATGTCCACCTTCTCTGTTTTACCTAACAGAGAGCCAAGACTCTTAACAATAAGATAATCATTAAGCAAAGTCTCTGGAACACCAGTAAGCCTAACCCAAACCTTTTCCAGTGGTATCCCCATAGGCTCAGGTTTTTTGCACTCGTCAAACTCAAGAATGCACTTACTTCCGGGCACCTTACTAAGCCCACACTTCAGCAGGTGGTTAAGATCCTCCCTCCTAGGGAACTCCACTCTGTAAACCCGATCCTCCAAACTGACGAGTGACCAGTGAAAGGACTCAGACACTAGTCGTCTGAGCTGCTGACACACCTGTTCCTTCGTCAATGTCCCCTGGGTAACCCTGACCAGACCAAACTTCGAACTGTCCACCACTGGAGTCATCGAAATTGAGCGTGGAGTCTCGAAGAACATAAGCAGAAACCATAAATGTTTACCACAGGTGTAGGTACCAGAAGCAATGGGCAGCCGTCAGATGAGTGTCCCAACTTCAGACATATATCACATAGTACCGTCGTGCAATCAATCACAAAATGGCCTGGCACACCAAAACGGTAACATGTCATCTTTTCTTTCTTACGTGCCGCTTTGTTAGCATGCGCCGCATCCGCTTTATCACTACCTTTGTCACTATGACCATCTTTGTCATCGGAAGGAATGATGGCCCCAGCAAGCGCTTTAACCGCCGCCGCCGTCTCGGGCAACGCTGCAGAAGAAGAAGCGGCGACATCTACCACTTTGGCCGCCCCGCTGGCAGTCCCCTTCGGCGGGAGCACCGGCTTAGGAGCCGTCTTCGG